TATGGGGTACATAGAAGCGGAAACAATAAACTGGCAAAAAGATATTATTAATCCGAATACAGGAAAAAGAGGCTGAAACAGCACCTGGACATGGATGGCTGGTGCCTCTATAAATAAATCATTGATGGTCAGGTCAGCCCGGCGCACAATTCATTACATAGATCTACGTCAAAAGTAGCTTATCATTGTGATGTTGATCTGTAGCCAGGGGGTAAATGACCGACGTGTTTGTATCTCTACTGACTTTCCACACCCGGACCGCTTGTGCCCCCCTTCCCCAGGACACACATACATCCAGTCACACTTGTGCTGGCCACCCGTCCGACCCTGACAGATGCTATGACACGTGTGTGTGCCAACAATGGGTGTGCTGGTATGAAAGAAGGCCACTGATTGGTTGCATACGATGTAAACAATAGGCAAAGTGAATAGTTGTTCGTGATGCAGGTGCTACGGAGGGTTTCCAGGAATAGATCATAAGGTGCATTGCAGGAGGAAAATGGGGGAAGCCACGGCAGTGAGGACTGTTCACCCTGCAAGTGACTTTTTTAAATTAGAGCTTGCTCATTTATGTCTTTGTTGAATCCAAGTTATTTATATTGATTTAAATGAATTTTAAAAAACCCAGGGAATCCATCTCCTTTGTTGAATTCGAGTTTTCGTTGAATCCGAGATTGTTGCACCCGAGTTCCTTTATACTTTCATCTTCAGTCTTTAGTTTAAGTGCCATTTTGTTTTAAGTTTAAGTGCCGCTTTCTTTTATGCTAATGCCTTTTTTTCTTCCATCCTAAAGACTGTTTGGTGATCTCTCATGGACTTACAATAGGTTACGATAGGACTTACAAACTCTATGTTTGCTGTCTGGTTGTACTGAGGGACATGGTATCCGTATGTCCAAGAAGGGTACTTCAGACTACTGTCCACAGTTCACTCTGTTGTAAATGAGTACTTTTGAATTGGAGTCCACTTAAACTGAACACAATTAATCCGAAAACAGTGGTAAGCTGAAAGAAAATGAAAGCCCAGATTTTATTTCTTCTATTCGAATACTCCTCTAAACTGAAAACCGGGCTAAACCATAGATAATCTGGCGGTTTTGCAGGTTTCAGTTTAAGCGGACTCCACTTTGTGTGAATGATGCAACTGAGGGGCAGGAATGATGCAAGTCCTTTGTAGTAAAGGTTTAGATGGTTAACTGAAATGCACTGGCTTTCTGAGGATATTATGAATTCATGTGAGGCTTTTTTTTTAAGGGCTGAGAGGCTATAAATACATCTTTACATTCCCTTTCACCAGTTTTGTTCTTATATCTGGATTTGGATTACTCTCTTGCAGGAGACTAAGGCCCAGATTACAATAAAAGAATGCCGTTTAAAAGGAGATATGAAGGAGAAAATGTGGGAGAGATGGAAGATGGAAGTTTATATCATTGGAAAACTCAATCATGACAATGTGATTCACGCTGTGGAGTTGCCCAGTATGTTGGAACCTCAGCCTGGAGACCCACCTGTGTTAGCAATGGAGTTCTGTGAAGGTGGAGATTTAAGAAAGGTACCTGAAATTATCATTTTTTTGTTGAGTATTATGGGGAAAAGAAAGAACAACTCTTTGATTGTCCTTTTTAGTAGAAACTTGTGTCTCAATGTTGTTCATGAAAACACAAATATCATACAAAACATGTTGTTTCCGAAAAGGAAACAACAAAATGAACAAATTCATGCAAGCTAGGATGCCATTGCTTGTCCTTACAGTACACCATCCAGTTTTAAGCTTGGTTTTAACCTTTTGGAATCATGGAGCTTTACTGGTATAATAATGCATTTCGGTAATATAATATAATACTTTTTTTGTGTGCACCATTCCATGGATACTTCATGTATTTATAAACTAAGAAAGACATCAAAGATTGTTTTTTGTTTGTTCTCAAAGAGAAAACCAAGTGGTCTGGTTCATTCAATGTTCATAGATAATATTACTGCGATTCTTCTGTACCAAGAGAAAGATGGGTGAGGGCAGAAGGAGATTTTAAAACAATAATGTTCTTCTTACAACTTAACAGATATGGGCTTCCATTCACATGCAGATTCACCGGTTTAATTTTTCAGGGTCTCTTATCACAATGATTATTAGGGCAGGATTCTGCTCGGTTAATCGAAGGCTTGCAAAACAGCGGACAGCTTGTGAGCAGGCTTGTGATTTGCTTTGCCTCCCACTTGCTACCGGAGGGAACTTCCGGTGAGTTGTGACTCGCGGACAGTCCTGCTGTACTGTGTCGTGACGTCGCAAACTCTCATGGCTGTGGGCTCAGTACATATTACAGAAGATTCTCTGGTTATTTGCGTTGAGAGGCTTGCACCAAAAGTGCAAGATCGTTTTTTTTTTTTCATAGTTCGGTTGTAGAAAACCAAAAGCTCTATTCAATGCTCTTAAAAATTAATATTGGATCGGCTATTCTTACGATGTAAAGGCCTGTTTATTTTTAATGTGCACGAGCCAAGCGCTTCATCGTCGCACGCAAAAGACCTCAGTTCGATTCCCGTATGGGGAAAATTTTTTACTGAGAACCTCCGTCTTTCTGCTGGGGCGTTGTTCCCTCTCAGCCCAGGTTGGCCCTGACATTGGGTTGAAGTAGGTCTAGACCGTCTCCTAAATGTTCTGTATTATGTCACAGTGAGTGTAACACATCTACAAAATAGGTTACATACGTACGATACAAAAGCCAATCACAACGACCCCTGGAGTTTTCCATTCTAGGGTAATCTAAGTCTACTTATTCTTATTACTACCAGAAACCTAGGTCTCTGTTACTACAATACCACGCTCCCTCTCTCTTATCCACTCGCTTAGCTGATCAACAGCGGGAATTTAAAAATAACTTCAGCTCTCTATGTCTTGCACCAAAACAAACCCAGCCTCTCCCTTCCTCCACTGTTCAAAGTTCACACATCGAGGGGTCCTGCCGCCATCGAGCGGTCCTGCGGCCTCCCGTTCGCTCCTACAGCGAGACAGCACAAGTCAGCAGGTCAGGTTTCGAGCTTGTCCTGGGACAATTCACTAGGCCTAGCGCAAATCAGTACTGTGTGAATCGTGGGACTTGTGGCTGCGAACGGGAATTGAGACTTGGCGGCTGTCCGCTGCTTTGCGCAAGCTTTCGATTAATCGAGCAAACTACAGCACCACGCCGCACATTGACACTGTGGGCGCGATCTCTCACTCTCCTCCTCTCTCTTTTTCTGACGTAAGTGGCTTCGCGGATTGCAAGCAGGGTGGGGATGATGAAGAGGTCTGACACGAGTGGCTTCACGGATTGCTAGTTGCTGTGGACTTGAAGTTTAGACTAGACCAAGGAGGTTACAGTTTGCGCTAGACTCAACTTATCATGCTTGTGATTTGATTTGATGATTTGACCTAGTGATTTGAGGCTTGTGACTTAAACTAGGGGCTTGCGAGCACGAGTGGGTTTGCTACCAGGGTACAGCCCTAATGATTATGTTAAAAATCCACCTGTACTTTGTAAATCGTGAAATAAAGTTTTAAAAGTCTCTACTTTGATCTCCAGTCAACTATCGAAAAATGTTAATAATCTGCTTAAATTTGTAAATCAAGAAAAAAAAGGTGCATAAAGTAGCTTCCTTGATTTCCAAACAATTTTTTGTTTTTGGGCTCTGGACTGTAAAACTTTGTTTTCAACCAGGTACTGAACAAACCAGAGAACTGCTGTGGTTTGAAAGAGAGTGAAATACGCCAGCTGGTGACCGGTGTGGGAAGTGCCATTGAATACCTTCACAGTAACCGCATCATTCACAGAGACCTGAAACCTGAGAATATTGTTTTGAAGCATGTCGATGAGCACAAGGTAATTCACTGTTGAGGGAAACTGGTAGTGAGGGTAAGCTTTCTTTGATATTGTAATTATAAATTTTGTACTTGTGACGGCACTGTGGTTGTATGTTCTTGTTTTATCCAACGCTATTTCTGTATCGCTTTCTGTTTTATGTATGTCGTTATAGTGTCTTTATTAGCACACGAGGTCACACAGTTTTAAGGGATCTCTCTCTCTCTCTCTCTCTGACTCTCTCTCTCTCTCTCTCTCTCTCTCTCTCTCTCTGACTCTCTCTCTCTCTCTCTCTCTCTCTCTCTCTCTCTCTCTCTCTCTCTCTCTCTCTCTCTCTCTCTCTGTCTCTCTCTCTGACTCTCTCTCTCTCTCTCTCCCTCTCTGTCTCTCTTTCTCTCTCTCTCTCTCTCTCTCTCTCTCTCTCTCTTTTTTAAAAATTGAATGGCAGTGGACACTATCGTATAATCTTTCTTGTCTCTTGTTATTTGTTCAACTTTCTCTATCCTCCATGCATTCCTCCTCTTCGTGGGTGGTTGGTGGGTGCTCTCATGTGGTTTGCTTCTTCTTTCCTATCAAACATCTATCGTGCTTATCTCCCCTTCTTCTTTTTTATGTTTGTTTGTGGCGTCGGTGGCCTAGTGGTTAGGCCACCGGACTCGTAATTGTGAGGTTGCAGGTTCGGGGGTTCAAGCCGCTGGCCCGGTGTTGTGTCCTTGGGAAAGGCACTTTACACTAATATTTCCCACTTCACCCAGGTGGGAATGGGTACCCAGCTATAGAAGTGAAAGATCTTGTCAGTTTGTTAGTGTTTGAGCGCTTAACCAGCTGCTTGCACTGTATGCTTCCCGGGAAGCTGAGAATGTTTCTGAGTATTCTATGGTCTGCTGGGGTAATAATATTGTGTAAAGCACAGAGAGCTTGCTTTCAAGTGGGGACATGCACTATACAAATGCTATATATTATTATTTATTTGTTTCTCTGTTGTAACACCTCTGATCTTCTGGTGCTCATATGACCTTATGCAGTTGCGAGCACCATAAAACCTCTACTAAAACAAAACAGTTTTAAGATGATATTGTGAGAAACTGAGAACATCAGGATTTTAGTATATTATTTCTTTTTTGAAGCATGATATCTCGAAACAAAAGTCTGTTTCAGACTCACTATGACATTTTTACGGCGAAAAAATGACTGTTTAGCATCACAAAAAAATTAAATTCTGGATTTTAAAAAAATTTTTCACTTGCTTTTTGCTCTTGCTTGACTTGTACAGTCGAACCTGTGTAAGACGGAATCCCAAGGGAGCCAGAAAAAAATTCCGTCTTAGACAGGGGAATTTAGGGGGAGATGGAGGGGGGTTTCAATAGCCCAGCCGATGGGATCAAGGATCGCTTGTCCGATCAGCAAGCAGTTGTCAAAACTTCAAACCTCTCAGCTACTGTCTTGTCTGATAATGACATACGTCAGTCTTACTTGTCCAATTACCACCAGTGCTTGCCTTTCATAGGACCATTGCTTGACCTATTAAAAAAAGAAACGTTTTAACATCTTCTTTGCTTCCACCCATAGCCCCACCCACCTGTGCAACAAGCACAGTCAACCAATGCCACCCCTCACTGCCATCATGTAACAACGATTCGAGGAATTCTTTTCTCAGCTGGCCGTACGATCAGGGTGGCCGGCATTGGTCAATCTAATTTCACACCTCTGGCTTCTGGCTACCCAGGAAAGTTTCCGTAGTGGCTCGCTACTTGAGCACTCTCACAGGCAGTCCTGAGATTTCACACCCACACTACCCTGACCATCTGCATCGCTCAGGGCTCACATGATAGGATAACATCTACCCCCCAATTGCATCCCTACTCCCCTTCCTCGCCTGGAGGCATGGCCATGGCGTTAAGTTTAGAGCCGGCGAAACCAAACTTGCGAGTTTTGTTTCAAATCTGGGCTGAGCGAGCAAAGCATTTTCTGTCTTAGACAGGTGAAACCCTCGGAAGGGAGCAGATTTTTCTTTCCATTTCCGCGTTGGACAGGTTTCCGTTATATACAATGACAATGACAATCTTTATTCATCTCGCAGGGAGAAATTTGTCTTGGTCGTTAACAATGGCAGTAGACGTTACAAAAGTTAGACTTAAAGGTGCACTCACGCAAACGCACAACAAGACAGGACATTAGGCCAAGTAAATACATGTCTCACGGGCTGGGACAACCCGCTCCGTAAAACATTCTCTCTCTCTCTCTCTCTCTCTCTCTCTCTCTCTCTCTCTCTCTCTCTCTTTCTCTCTCTCTCTCATTTGTAGCACTGTGTGTTCAGTAACCTCACTGCAGTTGGTACGGATGAATTTCTATATCTGTCTGTTCTTGCTTTTTTGGAAATGTATCGTTTACTGCGGGTCGATAGTTGAAATTCCGCTGTCAGTGGGTGGCTATGGTCACTAAGCATTATTTCCGCCTTTTTTAGAATGTTTGTCTTGTACAGATGTTCAAAGTTACTTAGGTCTCTACCAATTGTTCTTGATGCCTTTTTTATTAACTTATTTAGTTTTATAATGTGCTGCCTTCCCAGATTGCTACCATAGCGAGTGATTCCAAAATTTATCAAAGATTCTATTGTGGTGGTGTAGAAAATCTGAAGGATGGATGGATTCAAATTGAAAGACTTTAGTTTCCTCAGAAAGTACAGCCTCTGGTTTACCTTTTTAACGATATTGTTTACGTGGTTTTGCCATGTAAATTTGTTGTCTATTGTAAGGCCAAGATATTTGTATGAATCAGTGATTTCAATAGTTTCTTGTTCAATAACGAGTGGTGGGATTGTTGGTTTTTCTCTTCTAAAATCAAAAATCATTTCCTTTGTTTTTGAGAGGTTCACTTTTAGAAAATTTGAGTTGCACCATTTAAAAAACCTACATATTTCTTCGAAATACTCTTTTTCATCAAGGTTTATTAATCCAATAATAGCGGAGTCATCTGCAAACTTAATTAAGCGTGTTGTTTTATATTTACTTCTATTATCGTTGGTATATGTAGTATACAAAACTGGTGACAAAACACACCCCTGAGGACCGCCGGTGTTACAAAGAATTGTGTCAGATTTTGTGTTGTTTAGCTTCACATATTGTGGTCTACCTGTCAAGAATTCCAGGACCCATGCTGCGATATGATGACTAACTCTCAGACTCAGAAGTTTTTCAATGACAATATGCGGTTGGATTGTATTAAATGATGATGAAAAATCTACAAAAAGTACTCTCGTTTACGTTTTAGATGTTTCAAGGTGTTTCAGTATAGAGTCACAAAAAACAAGTACAGCATCTTTTACGTTCCTCTCTTGTTTGTATGCAAACTGGAATGGATCTAGATTTCCATGAACACAGCCTAGAATATTAGAGAGGATAAATTTTTCAAGGCACTTGAAAGCAATGGATGTAAGAGCGACTGTTCTTAAGTCATTTATTTCATATATTTTAGGCTTTTTTGGTATTGGTATTACCTAAGATGTTTTCCATATTGTAGGAATGTAGTTTTTGTGTAGGGTCAGGTTAAAAATGAAAGTAAATATCGGGGCCAGTTGCTCACAACAAGTTCTGAACAGTCTCCCTTTCACTCCGTCTGGACCACAGGCTTTGTTTATGTTTACACTTTGAAATTTCTTTTTAACACTCCGCTCCATGAGTTCAACACACTCCTCCTTGCTCAACTCATCTCTTAGCCTCTGTTTAAGATCACGCTGCTCATTCTCAAAATCAAAACAGTCGAAACGACAATAAAAGTTGTTTAGCTCATTTACATAGTCTCTTTCATTTTTTACTTGCACACTCTCTCTCGCTGCAGTATAACCCGTTATTTTTTTCAAAGAGGACACCATATATTTCTCATATTATTTGTCTGAAATTCGCTCTCAATTCTAGTTTTGTACGCTTGTTTACAATGAGCAATCTGTCTTTTAATGTTTTTAGATATCAAGTACATTTCATTCATGTTATTACTTCTAAAGGCTTTCCGTTTTTCTTTTATAAGATCTTTCAGTTCTTTCGTTACCCATGGCTTATTATTTGGATAGTACGTAAGGGTTTTATAAATAGTAACAGTTTCTTCACAAAACTTAATGTAAGCACAAATGGTTTCGGTAAGTTCGTCAAGGTCCTTGCAGGTGTCTTTGAACATGTCCCAGTCTGTAGAGTCGAAGCATCCCCGTAGCTGCTCGGTCGTGTCGTCTGTCCATGATGGTATCATCCTGGTTGTTGGTTTCTTTGTCTTGAGCAGGGGGGGGGTACTTTGGGATCAGAAGGATGTTATTGTGATCTGAGTCTCCCAGCGGTGGAAGGGGGAGAGACTTGCAGCCGTCCTTGACGTTGCCATAACACAGGTCGATGGTCTTTTGTAACCTTGTGGCGCACGTAACATATTGGTGAAAGTGGGGAAGTGACGAGTCGAGACGGCAATGGTTAAAGTCACCAAGAGTCAAGATGACAGCGTCCGGTGACTGTAGCTCTTGCTGGTGAATGCGAGACGCTAGGATCTCAACAGCCTCGCTCTCCGTGGCTTGGGGTGGGATGTAGGCCACGTTGATGATGACACCAGTGAACTCCCTGGGCAGGTAGAAAGGCCTCACGTTGACAGTAAGGAGTTCAATGTTGGGGGTGCATAGTGTTTCTTTAAGAGTGATGTTGTTACGGTGTGCCCAGCAGTGGTTAACATAGAGGCACATGCCGCCACCTTTGGTCTTTCCGGCAGCAAGGGTTCGGTCGCAGCGAAAAATGTGAAAGTCGTCCATGTGTGCTGTTGAGTCGGCCATCATCGATTCAAATCATGTCTCGGTGAACGCAAGAAACGAAGCGTCACGGTATTCTTTAAAATGTCGACAGCATGTTGACAGTTCTTCTAATTTGTTGTTTAAAGACCTTGTGTTGCCAAACACAATAGCTGGTACAAAGGGTCTGGCTTTCCTACGCTTGTTTTTTTCCCTGATCCCTCCTTTCCTCCCCCTCTTCCGTTTCTGTTGTTGCGGGAAGTACTGAGCATGATGACAAGAACTCAGGCACTGGGGGCGGAGGTTTAATAACATGGCTGGGCTATACGTAATGGTGGAAAATGGCGAGCAGTTTGGTAAAGGTCTTATTTCACCGAAAAATGTCAATAAAATTATACAGCAAAAAATGCACTTAAAAGTCCGAACACAGCACTGCACCTCCATGGTAATTAAAGAGGAATATATCAAAGGGGGAGCGGGGAGATTCCGTTAAGACAGTTTTCCGTTTTATACAGGTGTCCATTGAGGCAGGTTCGACTATATTTGGTTAAAAAGTCTATCTGCAACTTCTATTTTGTTCTCTCTTGTCACTGTATATTCAGCACAATTTAACTATCTTATTTCTATCAGCAACTTCTAATTTGTTTTCTCTTGTCACTGTGTATATTGTACACAATTTAACTTATTGGTGACTGTCATGAACTTATGTGCCTAAGACAAAGAATAGGAACCATATTTCCAGTACAAAATCTACAGCTCGGACTTGTAAAGGTTGTATTTACTTTACTAGTCCGAGCTGTAGATTTTGTACTGGAAACCTGAGGAGGAAACAATTATTCCTGTGAATTAACCAGGATCAAGCAATGGCAGTATTTAGAGCTCATCTTGCTGGCTTGTTAGGTCTGAGATACATTCTCAGGAGTGTCTCAATATTTTTGTACTTGTAAATTATGGGTTTTTATATAATATATATATATATATATATATAATATTTTTTTCCATTAGGCATATTCGTAGCAACTTTATAGTTGACACGTTCCTGTAGTGTCTGTTCGTGGCAACGGTAGAAGTTTTTATCTTTCTTTCTTTGTCTTGTCTTTGGGAACATTTTGTAACTTGTGCAGAGAGGAACTAAACTGAAGTCATCCTGTTACAGCAAACCAGATTTGAATTACTTTATAGCTTTATAGAAATCTAAATTGCCTGCCAAGTTGCTTCAAAATTTGCTTACGGTCTTTTTCTGATATTTCTGTTTATAGGCCACACTCCTGTGTTGATTTCCTGATTTTGTATGAACCTCTTGGGATCTACATGAATCCTTAAATGTTAGTGTTTATGTTCTTTTGAAAAAACATTTCAGATGTAACTTTACTTTCATTGCATATTTTACCTAATTGCTTTGAAGTTGCTGGTATACTGAGGTCAGTATACCAGTAGGTAACATACAGTAAAAATACAAAATCGTTGCATGCAAGCGGGGTTTTTCCCTGTTGATTAAAAGAAAAACGTTGGCATGATGATGGTTATGACTGTTATGACTTGGTAGGAAAATACGAGACCGACAAATGCGATAGAGGGATGGTAAAGAAGTAGGACTTCCAATGGTGCCCTTGAATCACCTGGATTTGGAAGAAATTCTCATTGTTTTATGCTTCTGAAAAATTTCAGGTCAGCTCAGCTCAGTTAAAGATTTTTATAGCTGTATTTTTTAATTAGAAATATCATTTATACAATCTATATGTGTGTGTTAGATAGAAAATAATAAACATCCAGTGTGTAATATTATGTTTTTGCCATAATTGTCTTTCATTTTAGACGCTTTACAAGATCATTGACCTGGGCTATGCAAAAGAGTTGGATGTGAGCAGTGTGTGCAACTCATTTGTTGGTACTATGCAGTATTTGGTATGTTAAATTATAATTTGCGCTACATTATTGGTATTTTCTGTTCCTGTTCACTTTTTAAATTGGAGATCAGCTGGGATAATCAGATCGAGAGAAAGAGAGAACTAAAAGAGGAGACACAAACACTGAGAAAATGAAAAGTCAGGGGTGAGAAAAGCCATTATGGTTGTGTTACTCAAAAGCATGTTATTATTCTACTTTTCCTCAATCAGAAAAAACTCAATGGTGGAATGCTCTCAAGCACGTATTTATGTGATTGACTTTGTTTTATTGGATTTTTATCCCATTTGTTTGTGATTGACTTTGGTTTATTGGATTTTTATCCCATTTGCTTTTACTTACTATTGTGATGCTTTTTCCTGAACCTTGTACAACACACTTGAGTTCTTGATTTGAATCTACGTCTTGTAAATTCTTGAACATTTTCTTGTTAACCTGGTGTCCTGTAAGGGAAACAAACGCTCGCTGGTTTTAAGATAAGAAACACTGTCTAGTCATCAGTAGGGTATTTAAAAAGCTCTCCGGTATTATGATTAAAAAGATACATACCTTGGACTTATAGCAGCAGTCTATGAATATGTGCGCTACTCTCCTGTGCAAGTTATATGTTCACATATGACTGAACAGCATGTCAGTGATTGAACGATGATGTGATTATAACTCCCTGTGACACTGACAAGTATTGAAACATAACACAACACTGAATAAATTTTACCTCCATTATAAATATGTGTTCTCTGTTTACTCAAAATCATGGAATTTAGTTTACTGATACTATAATGCATGATTCTGAGACATACGTTTTTTCATTCTTTTTTATGGTTTTATTCCAGGCCCCAGAGTTATTTGCAACAAGACCTTATTCAAAGACTGTGGATTATTGGTCCTTTGGTTCCCTTGTGTTTGAATGCATTGCTGGCTTCCGCCCATTTCTTCCAACTGCGAACCCTGTTGAGTGGTGTGTAGATTTCTGCCTTTATGCTTGTATATTGATATGATATTGCTGTTAATGAATGTTGGAGTTAAATTCTTTGGATGGCCCAAGTGGACATACACATGTCTTCACAGCAAGTTAACCTCCAGAAGCGAATGCTACATATCAGATTTGTGCAGTGCTTGTGAACAGAAAATGCCACATTTGAAAAACCAAAAGAGATGTGGCCTGATGACTGTTCAAGTTCCATAACTACTGAAGGCAACTATCAGCTGTACTGACCCCTTTTGGGGAATAACCGTTTTTTTCGTGTGCACCGTTTACCTCTTCAGAGCTTCCCCCTCCATCTTGCAACCGCTGTCTGATGAGGTCTACTTGTGTGACAGGTTTTTATGTATTTTTGTGTATGATGTGTGAACCGTCATGGTACAAAGGTACAGTGTTTGCCTCTCACTCAATAGATCCCGGATTTGAAACCTGACAAGAGTGGACAAAATTTCTTTCACCAAAATGTTCTACTTTCACCTCCTTTCCTGTTCTCTAATCATGTTCTGTCATCTTACTTCTGACTCTTTCTACTGTTACTCCTGGCTCTTTGTTACTGCTGTCTTTCAGCCACACCCCCGATCTTAGGGTTGGTAAGATTTAACACCTAGCTCTCTTGGATAAGAGAGAAAAAAAATCTCTGAGGTCCCGTGTGCAAGTTGTGCACATCAAAGATCCCTTGGTGGTCCTAAAATCGATAAGAGTAGGCTTCGGCCGCCACGGCGCAAATTTCAAAATTAATTCCTACCAAAACTAAAAATACTCTAGTCAGTATAAGAACATGCAGAATACTTTTGAAATCAGAATGTGGCTGTCTGAGGGCAAGGGGCCCTACAAAATAGGAAAAACAATTGCATACACAAACATTAGTTGCATTGCAGGCTGAAGAACCAGCAGTTGACTGCCCCTGAGATCTAGTAGCAGAACTCAAAGGCAAAGGAGAAGACTGACAAATTGATTGCGGTAGCAGTAGTAATTATTTTAGTGTTTCTGAACTTTGTTTGTATTGATGTGTCTAAATTTTAGAGAAAGTGTTGTGTTACAACAACTCTGGGAGCTTGCTTTGTTTTATTTATGAAACTCCTTGATAAAAAGGCAGGTTAAATGCATAGCACAAAAAGAATGAAAATGTTGCCATCTCCCCAAAAAGTAATTGGTAAAAGTTGTTTATCAGGAGAGCTTTTTTATACACAGGTATATTCATAGTTTAGTGAATATCATGAGGGGACTGGATAAGTCAGAAGTCATTTTTAAGTGCCATCATTAACATTTTCAAAGTTTTGAATATCTCAAGTACAGTTGACTGTCTGGCAAAATGACTTCAATCAAAATGTGAATCAGGGAAGCTCTCAAACTTGAAAGAGTTTGTTTTGAAGTCGATTGGTCTTTTGACACTCATGATATGGAAATGTGTCATTCAAAGATTAAACTGAGTGTTCTCTTATTGTGGTGTATCCAACAGGAATGAACATGTTTCCAAGAAGTCTCCCGATGACATAAGTGCTCAGTTTGATGAGCACAAAAAGATAAAGTTTTCGAAAGAGCTGCCTTTGCCAAATCAACTATGCAGGTTAGTAGTTTTAGAATGAGAAGTTTGTATTTAACCCCTTCAATGCCGCAGGTAAGTAGGCCCCTGTTCGGGGGGCAATTCCATGAACCAAACTGCTCAGGGGTTACCCCACTCTACCTCACATAACTTTTTTATTTCCTCATGAATTTTTGTATGTACATTCTATATTGAACCACATTTCTATTAATGTAATTTGGGGGGGGGGGGGATTTAATTGAAAGGTAGATGGAGAAAAATTGGATTTAGTAACATGATGCCAGAAACAGCACCACCAAACAACATAAACATGACAATACACATTCGAGTAATAAACTGAGACCCCCCAAAAAGGGACTACACGTTGTGTGAGTGTTTGTAGGTAAAGAGGAAGTGACAAGAGGCTTTTCCTTGTTTTATTTGTTTTAGTAAGGTTTTACGGCTCTCGCAGCTGCAAAAGGTCATATGAGCGCCAAGGGGTGGATGTCAACAGAGAAGTCCAAACGAGGAATCAGGCTTACTCTCCTCACCTCTCTAGCCTCAACAGCACAAAGTTTGCTTCCACTATCAAGTCACCCCGGAAATAGTGGGTCACAAGAAAGTGACAAACATACGAAAGCAGCAGAGGAAAAATGACAATAGTAAGGATTGGGAAAGAAAAGCAGCAGTTCCCGGTATGCAGTTCAGGCACAGTCATGAGCATGACATTGATGAATCAGCCCATTTACAATTGTACTGAGCACAAAACATGTTAATGTCCCCCCCCCCCCCCCCCCCCTTGGGAATGGCCTAAAGACACTTCAGTCAGTAGCACTGCTGGGGGGGGGGGGGGGGGTGTGAGGTTTTTCCTACCTTATACAACGCTTGTACAATACATATATTACGTATAAGCCCATCTGTTGTGTTTACTGCTAGTAAATAATTTTTGTGTGTATATCTAGATCTATTCTCCGCGAGCTAAAATGTACTTTCAAATGGATGGAAAATTGAGGTAAACATTAAGGGAGGATACTCCAATAATAATTACAAGATTTTAGCAGTAATTTCACTTATAATTGGTATCAAAACAACCTCTGTCACAGTCTCATAAATCCTACTACGGACCATAGACACAGCGCTCCTCGGTTCAGGCCCGTAAATTCTACGGGCGTGGCAGCGAAGATGTTAAATGAATCCCATTGTGATGATGCTAGAACTGATCGCTCTTTTGTGATCATGATTTTGTCTGAAGCTCTCATCTAGGCCAAAAAGAGGTAAACAAACTGAACACAAGCTGCAAAGATCACAACATGAAGATCAGCAAAGGGCGAAACGGAGGCGATGAATATATGCAGAATACCAGTTACACTGAACATATCACAGTCAACAACAGCAACATCAAGCAAGTAGAAGAATTCAAATACTTGGGCGGTATGTTCACCCAAGACAGAAAGATAGAGAAATAAATATCAGAATAACAGAGGCCAATGCTATGACCCATGTCTTACAAACTGGCACTGCTACTTTCACATCCCAACATCACTATGGAAATAAAATTCCAACTCATATTCAGCATCTTTATACCAACACTGTGCTTCCAAGTCCAAACTTGAACAATAAACAAGAGTCACCAAAGTAAAATAAATGCCTGTGAAACGAGATGCCTAAGAAAAACTTTTAACCTCACAAGAAGAGACAGTGTGAGAAACAAGATAGTAAGAGAATAAATTGGCTCGACTCCGCGCTTGGAGTACATAGATAAACAAGGATTGAAATAGTTTGGAGATCTGTCAGGACTACCACTAGACAGAATGGCTGGGAGGGCACATAACCAGTGATCAGGTGGATACAGAGGAATAGGCAGGCCCAGGGAAAGAAGGGTAGAGGGGGCCAAAGAAACATTAGGCAAGAACAATATAAACATGCAACAGGCTATACAACAAAGAAGAGAAAGAAGTTTTTTTCTCCCCTCAACACTGTCTATAAAGATTGAGACAAGTTCTTTTACAATACTTTTATTACATATTAAAATGATTCCCTGAAAAAAGTAATTGATGTTCCCTATTTCGTACCTTATTTTCTATTTCACAGACCACTCCGTGGCTACTTTGAGCAGTGGCTTGCGTTGATGTTGAGATGGGATCCAAAGGCTCGTGGTGGAGGTGTCATTGACATTCAGGGCATTGAGAGGCCCAAGTGCTTCTACCTCTTGGAACGAATCTTAAGTTTGAAGGTCTCTTGGCATTTTCCCTTTGTTTGACTAGTCTGACTAGAGCTGAATCTGACTATTGTGTCCTGTTCAGTCCAAAATAATTTTTTTTTTGGAAATGGTACCTTAGATGTTACATCTTTTTAAGATGTCAGGAGTGTAGAGGTTTATTACTCTCCAACTAGCCTATGTTGAAAAATAGATTTGAACCTTGACTGCCTGTACTATTAGAGTCCACAGTGCCTTACTAAGAGTGATAGCTGGGAATATTGGATAAACTACAAGTCTTTGAAAAGGTGTTGAACTTCAGAATATTTACAGGCGTTTGTTGACAAAAGGTTGTAACTGCAAGTTTCCTGTAATACCATTATGTAGCGGAATGAGAAGAATGAGAGTGACTTGCCTTTGTAATGTTAGAGTACCGGGTAAAGCGTGAAATCAAGTACTAGTCAAGAATCAAAGTGTTTTGACTTTAAAAGCAGTGGGTTATTGCATTGAGATTGGTTTAATCTGGGCTTTTTTGGTTTTTTGTAAAGTGTTTTATGGCGCTCGCAACTGCATAAGGTCATATGAGCGCGTGGGACACACCTAATATTTTCAGTTGGTAGGAAATTTTGAATTTTGCCCGGGTGGCGGCCGAAGCCTACTCTTATTGATTTTAGACCACCAAGGGATCTTTAACGTGCGCAACTTGCACTCGGGCCTTCCGAGATTTTTTGCCCTTGTCCGAGAAGGCTAGGTGTAGATCTTTCCTACCAGAAGATCAGGGGTGTGGCATTTCTACCCCTCTGTTGGGCTGGATTCTCACTGTATGTTGTGAGTATAATACAGGGGGTATACTTTTGGACCCCATTAAAAAAAATTGCTCGTACTATTAGGTAAGTTTGTACTGTACCTGGTTGTTTTTTTATAACATAATCAGAATGAAAAGGGGGTTTCCGTCTTGTGGGTTCTTTATTGCTTTTTTTTTTAGTTAACAGTAGTTATGGAAACAATTATCATAACCGAAGAAAGATGTTTCCTAGACAGTTCATAGAACTTTTATTTGCTTTGCATAACCTAATGCAAGAGATCATGACATTTTGTTTGATTTATTACAATCTGCCATGGGTAGATTTTAATTTGAAGCTCCCAACAGTTATTTGATTAAACTGTGAGAAAGGAGAATGAGTTAAGATCAGTGACACACCCATAAATACTTTTCTATTTATAGCCATTTAGAGTTTATTGTCTCTGCTGTATCTTCTTGATCTTTTTGAGTGGTTAATTTTGCAATGGTTATAAAACCTGCTCCAATCTTGTTTCCTCAGCTGTTACACATTCTTCATGTGGAGGCTAATACCGTGCTGTCGTACACAGTGGATGAGACGAAGACAATTGCTATGGTGCAAGCTGCCATCGAGGAAAGAACTGGAGTACCCAGAGAAGCTCAAGACATTATCTTGGCCAATGGAGTCAAACTGAATCCAGGAGACCTAGCTGTACAGGGTTGTTGCGAGTCGGTATGTTGTCTTTTTTTAGTCAATTTGGCAATTACGTACATAAATTTTTGCTGGCATGTGTGGTCAGGTCATCTAAATGAAGAGATGACAAATGCTTTCTTTCTCTTTTTTCAAGTGCACATATTTATGTCTCATGGAGGAACCCTGCATGATAGGAAAAGATTGATAGTATATCTTGTTGACTTAGTCATGTTGATATTCTATCACCTGTCATTTTTATGCCTTTAATACATAACATTGGAAGTTTTCCTAGAGACTAAATTTGTTTTTGTCTTTTATTTGATAACTCTGGTAACTCGCTGCCTGAACTTAATTGTCAATCATGACTGTTACCCCCGCAAAATTCTTTGATCTCAACCAAATCGCAAAATGAAACAGTCCACCCACCACACGTCATAATTATAAACGCCACTGTCTTTGACATAAATGCCCCTCAGTGTTGTTGTTACCACGGAAAATCAGGGTGGATTCATGCTGTGCTTGACCTCCAAGATTGCAGCAGAACATGGGTCATTGGATGGGACTTGCGGTAGACTGTGTATCATGGTACTCTGGCAACTAGACTGGCACAAATTAATTGTTACCATAATCGGCATAGAGATTTGGTTCTTTGTCGAAGAGTTTTGCATATTACTAGATATTTCCGGACTTTCAAGCATTTTAAAACTCTTAGATGAATCAAATAGTTTAGATAAAGTTAAGTGGTTTTACTTTTGAGAACATTATAGATACAATTCTTGATCTGAAAACGCTGACATTATATTCTCAATTAATGAAGTACATTCTAATATCATGAGATTCAAATACCCACAGTGTACATCTTTATTATTTTCCTCAGAATGTGGATGACTTGATTTTATTTTTGTTCCGCCGACAAACCATAAACATGGACTCTTATCAAAAGTCAGAACTCCCTCCACCTGTTCAGGCTATATTGAGGGAAACTAAAACGCTTCTCCCTCTCAAGGTAAGGTACCTTCTTGTTATAGTTATAGTGTTATGTTTCTTGATGATCTTTTGGTTACCCAAGACTATCTTACAGTATGTATGTTTCTATACCCAATTAATTGAGAAGTTTAAAATTTTACACAGCCTTTGGACCAAGCTCAGTTATGTTTAGAAAGGTTATGTGAATATTCTGATCAAATGCCTGTGAGACAAGAATGAAAATTTTAGGTGGAAGCTTGAAAAATCTCTAGCCTGCTAGTTATTCTTGTGAATCCTTCAGTAATAATCCTGAAAAAGTATTTGCTGACAGTGCATAATGCAAAGTTAGGCTCATAAAGGGGTTTCAAGTCTCTTTCTTCAACCATGTAACACTCAGCATTTTTGAGAATGGTATCAATTCAAAGAATTTCAATCTCGATTATGTCAAAATATATTATTTTCTTTGCATCTGATTGCCTCATATCATAGAAAATGGGGGGGGGGGGGGTGTAAACCTCTTAAACATATTTTAATAAGTCTGTTCTTAGGTGCAACAGAAAACTTTAGTCACTCACAGTTTATTTGTTGCTTGTATTTTAAATTGTCAATGCTGTTGTTCAATTGTGTTTCTGAGTTTTCTGACAGGAATTTGCGGGTGGTTGGAGGGAGCCATTAATAGGTCCTACTTCTTTTCTTTCCCTCTGTTGATTCTGTACTTTTTCCCAACACTGAATGACCATTATTGTGTCGATGTGCTTCTTTTTATTCAACAGTGCTTCCACTCTTCCGCATTTTTACGTAAATCCATTCTTTCTGCCTGTTCCGTACTTGTTCCTCCATCATTATCAACTCCCTCCGTAAAAAACTGCGACAGCGCAGGACTGCCGAAATTCCGTAGCAAAAGATCCATACTCGCCTTCGTATCGTCTTGTATAAGTTACAGATATTTAGGCTCTCTCGGCGACAAGTTAATGTCATAGAAACCTGCCAGATTGCGCTTTTCCTGCAATCAGCCATTATTCCGCTATGCCCCACGCATTCATTGCGGGTTGGTCGGCAGTACATTTTTTACCTGCAGATGGATCAAAATCTGGCGAACTTTTTGTGCCAATTTTCTCCTTTCTGTCATTCACTCATTCCATCTGTCTATCTTCGGATTGTTGCCGCAGCTGAAAATCTGCGCGTTGATCAAGTAAATTGACATCTGATCTTAGACAGAAAATTACTCTCAGAAAGAAACTTTTTTTGCAAATTTGTTTAGATCTAGAGAAATTATCAATGCGAAGATTCTACGGCACTGGAACGCGACAAGGGCGGTGATGAAAGAAATATATGCTAAAACTACTAAATTCAAGAATAATTCGAAGTGGTGTTGTTGTGACAGGCATCATTCAGACTTGAAAATTGAGGAAAAATTAGGGTATACGCTGGGCAACTGTATTGTGAAGGTACATATCTATTCATTATTCCCAGGTTTGCCTTCAATCAATGGTGCGACGACAAATTAATTGAATTATAGTAGCAATGAAAGGGGAACCTGCTTTTAAACATTGCCAGCAATGGAAAGATATGTAGGTGAAAAAATCGAACAAGACAAAATGTTGGTGAAAAAATAAATGTTATGGGTTTTAGGCAATCTCTTCAAACAGGCTCCCTAATGTCATTTTTGTCTTTCTAAAAGTACTAAATTTCAATTTCTTTTGGGGGCTTCGCCCCCTGAACCCTCACTGGGATGCTGTCCTTGGACCCTAGGCCCCCAGACCCCTGGCAAAATTTTCCTTACTTTTCCGCTTCAGCTGGTGGAAGCACTGATTCAAGCAAACAAATAGGACTGGAATTTAAAAATCCTTTTCAGTGTCAAGAAAGATGTTCGAATTGTTCACCAAAAATTGTACATTGTATTTCAACTATATTTCTTAATTTGCTCTCATCGAAACCTCATATCCAAGAAGCATTTTTTAAAAACAATCTTAGGATCATCGGAAATCCTGGGCTCAGGCAGTGTGCTGGTGTGCTGAACAGAACAGGGATTACAAACGTTTAATACTGAGTCATAGAGCAGCCTTGTAAGTACTTTCAGGGAATGTTTCTGTTTTTATAATTGAAGAGCTATTGTCTATGTAGGGTAAAACATTTTTTGTTGCTTCTGCAGTTTCTAGATGAAAATTTTCGTTGGAAGCATTATAAATTTTGTTGTCATATTAACAGTCAGTGTTTGCATATCACAATTATAAACTTTTTGAGGGATTTGTGTTTTTTTCTGACAGATAGATAGGTCAGTAAGATTTCATCTGAAGTTAATAATTTTCGTTTGTTACATATTCCGCAAAATGTATATGAAAGCTGAAGGTAAAGGTTTTATTGTCTTTTCAGTGTTGCAGTGTGGTTTAAATTTCATTTGTACCAAAGACTGACATTCCTTTGCTTTGTGTAGTTAGATATTATAGTGGAATATTAAAATGTGGTTTAATTTTTGTTTGTGTTAATTCATATTGTCTTGTAATTTTTGCTTGCTCTTATTTTGCAGACTGAGTTTACTTCGCAGCAATTCCCAGATATCTAAACTGAAAATCCAAATGGTATCTGATATTGGCAAATTAATGGCATGCAAAGAGCAGTTCAGTCTGAGGTATGTTTGCGTGAATCGTAGTTTCATTTTGAGTCATGTAGCATTTTAAAAAATGCTCTTTTGCTCTCAAATAAGTAGATAGGGTGGTGTTTTTTAAAGTTTGGGTAAAATTCGAGTCCCTGAAAATTGAAAACCAGGGCATGTTGTGTAATTGTTTGGTTCTTTGCCTCTTTAAGTCAACAGGTTATTTCTGGTGTGGCGAAGAAATGTTATTGGGTTTCTCTGTCTTTCCTCTGAGGTGTGTTGCCTACTGCCTTCCAAAATTACCTAAATTATGTTGATGGAGTTGTAAAAGGTTTCCAACATTGTTACAATATGCAGAAATTCAGAGACGTTCTGGAATAAAAGTTATTGCTCATGGAACTTGAGAGTACATGCTTTCTGCAGTTCTCAGAAATCTTGGACTTTCCGAACTAACCAGATACAATCTCTTATTTTAGAACTTCTCAGGCAGCTCAACCAGTAGTTTGATGTGTCTAGAAGTTGCTACACTTTTCATTATTCTTTCACACAGAGAGTTTTCATGAGTAGGTTTTAGCCGGAAAAGCTATTGGGAAGTAAGTAAATAAGTTTATTTAGTGTTTATGGCCATTGGCTCACTTCACATCACACAAAACACTCATTTGATAGTAAAGTTTCCATAATGAATAAGTACAGGTTGTGCATATCTCTTATCATGAGTCAAACATTGCTTATTTCTGTCACTGGGCCGAGTCAGGCTGGAAGGGATTAACAATTTCTTTTGATGGACAAAGTGTGAACAATAGAAAATAAAGTGAAATTCATCTGCAATTTTATGAGAGTTACACCTCTCACATAAGGGCGAATTAGTTTATTTCCACCGATAAAGATTGTTATTTAATGGAAGGCTATGGGTTTTTAACAAAGCTATGACTCTTCTGCTCCCATACAGTGGGAGGTTGGTGATATATTCAGCTGTTCTTCCTTTACGTTCTGCACAGAATGATCAACAAGTTTACTTTTTACTTCACTGAGAAAGAGTCTAGTACTTCCGACATTTTGAGAAAACCAGGCATATCCAAAACCCAGGGAAAATAATAGGTTTTTAACTTTCGTAGCCCAGTTGACTCTGCCCAGTTCACAGGAACGGTATAATTGCATGTAACATTTCTTTGGATATCTGTCATTTTTTAAGTGTTTAAGTCTGCACCAGAATTTAATGACACAATGCATGTAATCAGAACATAAGTTGGTTCTTCCCACTTCTCTTAGAACTAAACATTTGGGTGTAGTTTTGCCAAGACCCAAAAAGGCTTTCCAGAACTTTACCTGAACATTTTCAATCACGTCCCCATTTTTGGTACCCCAAATTTCAGAGCCTTAAAGCAGCATTGGTTTAATCTTTATATTAAAAATGGTTTTTGCTGTTTTGAAATTTAATTCTTGGTAAGAACCTAAAAGCCTTCTTGTTCGAGAAACAATCCGTTGAGCTGTACAAGCTCGGTCTTCCAGCGTTCATCTCCAGCGTAGACGCGATGAAAATGAAACACCCAAGTAACTATAATAGGTTACTGTCTCTAAGATCTTATCTTCCCAATACCATCTCTCAGATCTTTTGAGGTAGCCTCCATTTCTAAAATCAACAATATTACTTTTCTCTGTATTCACTTTTAAACCCCACAAATCTTGCAGAAATCATGTAACACATTGATTTTCTTTTGTAAACCTCTGACAATGTCGTCAAAAAGGCTTAGGTCACCAGCGTACATTACCATCATTATCATTGGGCAATACCTGTATAGCATGGGTATTTGAATCTGAAAGGTGTTTTTCAAATTGAGATATAAAAAAAAGAAAATAATATAGGGCTAAGTATGCAGCCTTGTTTGACACCTGATGTACATTGGAAGTATTCAGTAATATAAGATTTCATGGATCCTCGTTCATCCGAACAGACTTTAGCACATGAAAGAACACTTTGATACATATTTTTCAAAATGGTATACATTGGTCCAGAACAGCCAAGACTTCTCAATACTGTCCAAAGCTTTTCTCTCTCAACCCAATCGAATGCTTTAAAAAAGTCAACAAAACATACATAGAACCTTCCGCCAGGCTTTGAAATATATTTTTGGTCGAAAGATTGGAGTGAAAATATATGATCTATTGTGGAGTAATTTCGTCTAAAACCGGCCTGAGATTCAGGGATGAGGTTGCCTTCATCACACCATTGTTGCAGTCTTCTATTCAATAGAAATGAGAACAATTTACTAAGAACATTTACAGGGGCCCCACAGGGTCGGGAAATCGGGAAAAAGTCGGGAATTTTGAGATAGGTCGGGAAAAAGTCGGGAATTTTGTGATGGGTCGGTAAGTCGGGAAAGTATAGGGCCTGTGTGATGTGCAGCTATCTAGACTGTATGGTTGATGAATCCTAAAGAGGAAACGTAATTGAACCGCTGTGACGGAAGTGTATGTGTGACACCGAGGCTCGATCGGGAAGAATCAAGATCTGCTTTCGTTACCGCCCAGAAATTTTCCGGTAATAGTCTGATAGATAACGCAACATTTGTAACATGCAGGTTATGCATTATGAACGCTGTGTCGCCTTGAAAATAAATCAATATTAAAAATTGCCCTCTGCTGTCGCTTGTGGAAAAAAAAAAAGAAAAAGAAGTTATACAACCGTCTTGACAGGTTCGCCCTCGTGACCGGTCAATGAACCTGTGAGTACCGGCGGTCTGAGCGCTGTGAAGTATAGGACTCTTTTATAAGATACACTCGTGGAAGGGGATTGGGGGGGGGGGGGGAGCTGAAGGCAACGCTAGAGGACAAAAACTGAACTTGGAAGCAAATTTTTTGCATTTTGATTACTACTTTAGAGCTCTCTGCAAAGCGCGCGTTGGTGCAGGCCTTATGTGGAATCAGGGGATTCGTCATGCCTTGTTATTGAACTAAAGTGTTCGCGTTTCATTGGATGGGGGGATTGTAATTTATATCTATATTTTATTAGCCTTCTGTTCAAGATTGGCAGATTTTTTAGGGGTCCGGGTTTTTTGGGGGGGGCCCCCCCCCCCCCCCCCCCCCCCCCCAGTTCTTACACCTCTCACACTGAATAGGTGTACTTGAGCCATTCTAGTTATTACTCTACTTTGAGTTGCAGCAATGGTTTTCGTCTTCACGTTTATTATATGAATCAGGACACCCAGACTGGTTATTGACAGTCGATTTTCTAGTTCTAGGTCTTTTTTCAGGCTCAAAACAGGATTCATTTGTTTATATAGGGCCTATAGTTTGTTATGTTGGCTAATATGATAATGGGAAAATATAAATAAGTAAGAACAGACTGAAATACCAAAGTCTCTCAAGATCCCAGTGCCACACTGGCATGTTGTTGACTGGATATAATGTAGGCCTACCTACATGTGTGTGTGTATTCACAAACATATACATGTATTATATTAGATATAAATGGAGCACACGCTTTCATTGTTATGTAATGTGTTCCTGGAAAAAGGATAAGGCCCCTCCCTTGGAAAATTGAGAAGCTGGTTTGGCAGTCACCCAGTATTGTAGTCATCTATTGTTTGAAGACTATACTACAAAATGTACATTTGCATTCATTTATAGACATTTTGACTTTTTATCATTGATAGGTGGGCTTTTTGGGGATCATTCTTGACGCGCAGCGGCCTGATTTTTCCCTCGAATTGGGGTCTTGAAAAAAATGTGGGGGTCTTGAAAAAAATTTCCAGGATTTGGTGGGGACCCTGCATTTAGTAAACTAATGCCCCTATAGTTATTTAAATCATTTGCGTTTTCTTTTTTGTGCAAACTAAATATCATAGACTTGGTCCACTCCTCTGGATAGTTGCCTGTGAAGAAAACTGAATTGAAAGTGAGGAGAAATTCAGCCAGGTCCTGGCAACTGAATTTGTAAAATTTCGGCAATAGGCCATCAGGTCCACAAGCCTTGCCAGATTTTAAATTATTTATAGCCAATACAATTTCGTCTCTTGAAATGGGTGAATTTAACAAATCACCTGGCTCAGCACAAGGGGAGGCATGAGACTGTAAGGAAACAGATGAGTTCAAGCTGGTTGACTCGTCATTTCCATTGGCATTACCACCAGACCCCGAGAGGGGGTTTAGCAATTTCTCAAAATAAACGTACCATTCTCTGGGTTTGATAGTATTCTTTGTTACCGGGTGTTTACACAAAAGGATATTGACTTGTTTCCAAAAATCTTTCGAATTGCGCTTCAAACAATTCTGAATAAGAATATGAGTTTGTAATTGAGTATACTGTGATTTTTTTTATTTGCAGAGGTTTTTTCATTTCTTTTTCAAAGCGAGATAGTTATCTAATGCTTCATTTGAGTTCCAAATATGAAATTCCTGTAATGCTTTGTATTTTTGCCTTTTTGCATAGTAGCATTCATTATCAAACCATGGTGGTTGGGAGGTACACTTTTTGAACCTTTTAACACCTGTAGATTGCATACAATCGGCTGCGCTTTTAACGCAATTATTCAACATCACAACAGCATCGTTTGTTTTACCTACCTGGATAAGATCAGAAAATTCATTTGGAACACTTAACAGGTTGTCTTCTAATGCCTGTACATCTTCGACGTATGCGTTGTTCCAAAAACATTTCTAGATATCATATAAAAGACTCAAAACTTCTTGTTCTATGGGCTCACATTCGATGCTAGGTGCTGTAAACGTTAGGCTAAGAGGGAAATGGTCAGACTCCAATCTAGGGATTATTTTAAAGGCTTTAATTACATCCTGAAACCCATCCGTGCTTACAATGATGTAATCTATGACTGACTTGCCTTTGTTTGCAATGCAGGTGATGTTCCCTTCCTCGTCTCCATTTGTTCTGCCATTCAGTATTTGAAGTTTGTTCATTTTACAAAACTCTATAAGTTGAACCCCAAATGCATTTGTTTCTAAATCCCGAGACTTACGACCCCTGACATTGAAATCCATATAATCTGAGATAAGATCACAAGTGTCAAATCCATATACAAAAGAAGCCACGTTATCAGGCAAAATAAAGTCTTCTATGACACCGGTCTTAGAATTTAAATCCCCAGCAATCAACCAGGGCAAGTTTCCATATTTTACATTAATCGTTTCCCATCTTTCACTATACTGGTCAACGCGCTTCAATAATGTCTCATGATACACAGGTGAGTATTCGTGGGGAATGTAAACAAAGCAGAACAATACATCCACAGTTGATCGAAGCACACTTTTGTCTACGAGGAAAAAAATACATTCTTTTTTCTGAAGCTGTCAGACGCTGAAAAAAAAGAAGCAAGTGCATTTCTAATCATTATAACAACTCCTCCACCGAGATAGTGTTGACGGTACGAAAAGTATAGATGATAGTCAGGGAACTTTGAAAGAAGCAGTTCTTTGGAACTGGCATTAATTTCATTAAACGAAACTATATCATACTGTGAACAGAATGAGCTGAAATTGTGATAAAAAAGTTTTGGTTGCAAGCCACCGACATTCCACGAAAGTAGTTTAACATCGTACGTTTTTTCACGTAGGTTGTTATTGTAGCTATTAGGTTTTCCGGTACTTCTGTTTTCACTGTTGTTCTGAAGGGGCCAGCCGAACACATATCTGGCCGCAAACTGACCTCCTTGAGTTCTCGCTGTTGTTGTTTCGTGTGCCTGCGCTGATCTCCCTGCGTTACGAATGTGTCGGTGGGTTGTGGCGGAGGAACCCGAAGGCGCCAGTTGAGTCTCTGAAACCACGACCAGTTTTCCATTCTTGTAGTATCCTCTCTGTCCTTTGTCTCTCAGTCTGCCCAAATCTTGGCGCTGCTTCAGAGTAAGGTCATTTGAGACACCAACATCCATTCTACGAAAATCCTGTCTCGCCCTGAGAACCTCTAGTTTGTCCACGAACTGTGTGAAACGAACTATGACTGGCCTCGTGCTGCCCCTGCCGTGTGCGCCCAACCGGTGAGCACGAATGATGTCTTCCTCCTTCCAGGTTTTGGAGGGTACTGCTTTGTTTAAGAGATCGGTTATCTTTCTTCTCATTTCTATGTTGTCGCCATCCCATTCCTCCACTATTCCGTGGAAAATAACATTTTCATGGCGACTGTACTGTTCTTGACGCTTAATACTGTCCTCCACCTGACATAAATGTTCCTGTGTTTGTGTAATTAGATCATTGTTGGCGTCGATGTCAAGTTAGAGGATATTGTGGCGGCGCTCTATTTCGTCGACTCGTTCTTTTACAGCATGTATGCTCTCTTTCACTTTTGCAATAGCGCTTTCCACTTTTTGCATAGAGCACGCTATCTTCTGCACCTCCATTGTAAGAGTAATGAATTTTTCACAAATATTAGTGTTTATTGTATCGAGCTGCTCCTTGAAAGTGGGTCCTGGGTTTGACTCAACGTCGCCGGCTAAAAGTAAAGTGTTAACCACAGGTTCAAACATGAGGGACTTTATACAGTTAGTTTCTACCACTACTACCCACATAGCCAAAGCACAAACGAATAATCGGCAGTTCAACTCACTCTGTTTCTTTTGTTTTGTGTTAGAGCGAACAACATCGTGTGCTGTTTTTGGCTTACGCCCACCGGTAAACTTTCCTATTGTGATACGCCACTGCTCCACGGATATCATGGTGGCCTTACTCTCACTTGCAACACAACACACCGTTAACACACTCCAAGAAAATGGGAAATTGCCGTAAAAATACTATTCCAAAAAACACTCTGATACTCTCAAAGTAGGGAAGGGGGTAAGTAATGAAACGAAAAATCTGTGTTTGAAGAAGATTAAGAAAAGAAATTGTGAAAACTGTTCTGGAATGGTAGATTTTGCTCATCACATTTTTATGTTCTATGTGTACACTGACTCTCTGTATATGATTGGAAGATGTAAGATATGTTATCAGAAACGTTTTTTGTCTTTGAACTCCATATAATTGGTCAAGTTCTATATTTTTTTCCTTCAACAGTTTGGAATTTGATATGCAACAGTATCGCACTACAATGGAAGGTAAATTCTGTTGCTATGTTCTTTCAATGTAATAGGAATTCAGTCATTTTCAAAGCAGCTAAGAAGAGATATAATTCTCCAAATTTTTGAAGACTTTTTTAGTTATGTATATGTACCTTTTTCATTGTTGCAGATGCCTTCTTTGATGCTTTGTTTAAAATAATGATGTGTATATGTATATATTATAAACACTTACACAGATTTTGAATTTCCTTGTCTACAATTTTTTATATTTATTGTCTATAAAAGAGTTTTTTCTAAGACTTAAATTTTTTTTTAACTTAATAATTTTTTTTAGTTTATCGACAAACATTTGTAGTGTAAAGGCTACTTTAAGCCTTGAATTAAGTTGAATGCTCATCCCACGGCTACAATATGCAAGCAGTCATTGTTTTGAACATTGCAATAATCAGGCAAGATTTGGTCATTTGTTTGTCCGAGTTATCAGCATATGTTCTTGTGTTGCAGCTGGTGGCAGAATGCTGAATGGATTTTGTGGCAACATGTTTCAACAGTGGAGCCAGATGGCTCAACAGATCAATTCTTTCAATACCTTGGTAAGTCCACTCTAAAAACATTCCTTTGGTTTGGCCTCCTACATTCAGTTTCAATATATTAAATCATTTTTAAAGTTGCTATTGGTAATGAACTGATTTGATTCATCTTTAGTCACATTTCGGTTCAGAGCATTACTTTTGTCCAAAATAAAGACATTGAAATGAAGAGGAAAGCAATTCTTCTTTTTTGTGCTAATTTCCTCCTTTCTTTCATTCACTCATTCTTTCTGTCTATCGTTGGATCTTAGGGATGGTTAGAAAATCAGTGTGTTTGTGACTTTAGAAAGAAAATCATTATCTGAGACTTTTTCACATCTGTCTAGATCTAGATGTCGGTGTGAGGATTCTACGGGACCTGGACAAAGGCTGTGGTGAAAGAAATCAATGCTAAAATCAAGAAAACATGTAACTGGAAATGGTGCTGTGAGGTTGTGAAATTCGACATTTGAATGTGAAAATGGAGAAAATTAAGGATATACGCTGGATGATTTTATCGTCAAGAGTGATGTTCCTGGATTTGCCTACTGTTTATGGTGGGACGACAAATTGAATTATAGTGGCAATGGAAAAGTGACCTAACATAGATATATGGATTGGAATAAAATCTGAGCTAGAATTATAGGTCGGTTCTAGAGCCGTCGGGGGCGGCTTGCCATAGCGAAGCCACTTTTGCCACACTGCTGCCCACAGTTCGGCATAGCGAATGAGTTAAGGGCCCCAGACCCCCATCAATGAATTTTCTTACTTTTCTACTTTGTCGGAAGCACTGTTAATGTGTGTGGCTATACTGCAGCGGCTGTTAGCCATATACTCGTAGAATCTCCCCCCCCCCCCACCTCTTTCTGTCTTGACCCTACTGTGATCTTCCCAGGCCTCTATGACTGATGCAGCTCTTGTTTGAAGCGATCACTCGTTGTTGAGGGATTGTTGTTCCCACTAGATGCCTCAACTAGGAAGCCTTTATTTTCTAGTTTCATGACACTCATTGTCTTTGTGATATATTGGAACTATTTTTCACTTTCATTAGTGCAATTTTGATCATTCAGAAGGCTTGCATGAACCCTGCCTATCTGGGCTGAGAGGGATACAGTGTCACAGCAAATTGAAATAGACTTCTCCATGTGGGAAAAGAACATGTCTTCTGTCTTAACCAGCACACAAATTAAGGAGGTTTAATCTTTAGTATTGCTTATCTGTAAAATGTCATGACTAGTCATTGTTACAAAAATTTAATTTGGTTTTGACTTCACCTTTTCAGCATGACCGAGTGAAAAGTATTGAGGACAGGGTTGCTGTACTAACAACAGAAATTTTAGAACTTCAGAGGAGTCCATATGGGAAGCCAAAACAGGCTACTGAACTGGAAATTTTGTAAGTCTAATTAGCCAGTGTGTTAGTCACACCGAGGTTTTATCTTACTTATACTCGTCCAAGAAAGTTTAATTTCAGTCCAGAATTTTGTTATTGTTAAGAGAGTTTTTATTGCCTGCTTTAAAATTTGTCATTCTGTTCAAAATTCTACATCAGCACTGAATTCTGATCTTTTCATGTAGTTTTGGAATTTTAAAAATGATTGGGAATTAAAGCGGCACTTATACCTATTTTGTCATACAGTGACACTCATTTTCAACGAACTCAGATTCTACAAAAACTTGGATTCACAGAAAGGAGTTGGATTCCCTGTTTTTTTTAAAGTCTTTAACTGCTTGGGGTTTTGAACAGATTTTGTTGGGGTTTGTCCCCTTGATAAAATTTTGATCAAGGGTGTTACACAAAAAAAGCTATATTTAGATCAAATACGCTGAAATATAGTTGTAGCATACACCAAAATGTCAGGAAATGAATGAACTTTTATAAAAATTTTGTTGGGAAATTTATATATCTTTTTGTGTTACACAATCATAAACATGCCCATAATTTTTTCTTCACACAAAAGTTGGGGAAGTATAAGATCATGACTTCCCTTCGGAAAGCTTCGCATTCCCATTTTATAGCATCCTTGAATGCAATCATGCAGTGTGCGGCTCCGAGCTGTTCAGCAAAATATAGCGCGATGCAGTGTGCGGCTCCAAGCAGATAAAGAGTTGATAAAAAATCAATGAACACAACTTGAAGTGGATGGCCAGCACACATGTGACTGTGTGTGCGTGTGTCTGAAGGGGTGGGGGGAGGGGGGTACAAGCGGACATGGAATGTTAGTAGAGATCAAAAGAGACGCATTTATTTCTTTCCCCCAGCTGTTGATCAATATTGCAATGACGACAAGCTAATTTTGATATAGATCTACGTAATGAATTGCGCGCTGGACTGTGGAATCAAACATGCCTTACACTAGTGCTGGGCGGTATTGGCGAAACCCAGTTCCGGTCGTCTCTGGGCACTGGGTGTCGAGAACCGCCAGTACCGGTGGGAGTGGCACTAGGAGGTGACAGACTGTTCGCGCACCACCCCCCTACACACACACTCACACACTCAAGTCAGAATTGGGAGAGGCAGGCTGTGATGCAAAATCCCTTTGATGTTTGCTGCTGCGTGGGATTAACTTTGCATGCCAAATTTTAAAAATAATTATCACTGCTAAAAGTTGATTTCATTTTCAGAATCAGCATATCAAAATAAACAAAGTGGCTCACATAGAACCTGATTTGATGCCATATTTAAACTTAAACAAACTTTGTTTTTGATTTTCAACTTTTAATCTGGAGTCATGTATTAAGGTCACCCACTGCGTTGTGCATCTGACGTCACAGGCAAGGCCTAGGCCTACACACTGCACACTTCCCGGGACCCGGTAAAAAAAGTTGGTGTCGGTTCCTTCCCAGAGCCGGTACTGGAGGCCTGGTGGCGGTACTGACACCTCCTCTGGTACTACTGGGAGTTCCAGTACTGGGTACCAGTTCATGCCCTTCACTACTCTACACAGCAAATAACTTGTTAGAGCTCAGTGTATCTTCCTGGAATTTCCCAGCATTTCTTCTGTGTCAAAGAAAAGAAAATGTCTCTCAGTCTTCTATTTGAAACTAAACTACTTTTGATTGAGAAAGTCAAATCTGTCTGCCCCGATCAATATCAGTCGTTAGACGCACTGTTCTATTATCAGCTACGAGGCTCGAAAGGCAAAAAAGTGACTTTCCATGAAATGTTTGTTTTTTGGATATATTGAAAGTTTGATTCTTCTTCTTCATATAAGATAAAAATAAACAACTTTAATCAACTATAAATATTTTATTTTGATTTATTTTGGAGGCATGTGCTCCACATTGGAGTTTCTTTACTTCAATGTTCTTCATTCGCAACTTTTTAAAGATTTTGACCCCCTTTCGAGCATGAATGGTCTAAAACGTAGACAACTCTGATTGGTAAAATGGAGTAAAAACTGTAACTTCTAGCTCACTTCAAGCTTGTTTACATAAACAGCTGACTGTGGGAGTGCCCTGCTAGCTGTTATCGTCTGTTGACTTTAAAAATTCATTTTTATTGTGTTTTAGTGCTTTTAAAAGATTAATTAACCTTCCTTTTGATCTCTCAAAGCGGACTCCTTACCAAGAGGCCAACGAGGCAGTCTATAATATATGCATGTGTGTGTATGTGTGTTTGTATGTGTGTGTTTGTGTGTGTGTGTGCTCTCGTGTGCTTATGGTGTTATTGCAAACGTATAATTAGGTAGCGCAAACACGGCACGTAAGCCGACTCGCGGCCTTCCGAGCACGTGGTTTCAGTAAAATGGATGTAATTCAGATCTCCGTTTCCTTGCTCTTTTGCTATAAACACCAAATGCTGAACACTTTGAAAAAGTTCAGATTTCCTTCTTTACAATAGTGTAAGTTGTTTGTTTATTATAATCCGAGTATGAGCTGGAGAATCGCCGGGGAAAGGGAAGCCCCTTGCGGTCGGAATGCGAGGTGGGCCGGTTCAAAATTAACACCCATGCTTTTGAATGCTTTGCACAAAGATTGATGATTAAATACCTTCTCTTCATTGGCGGAGAACTGTACAGCTTTAAGCGTGGTTTCCGGTGGTTATTATTTTTGGCCTTTGGCGTTTAGATAGGAACCCTGAAAAAAAGCGTCCCAGTTTTCAAAGATCATTTTTAACACGAAAAGTGTAAAATACCGGCTAAAAAAAGGTCCCAAAAGAAAGAACAGTTCTTTTTCTATTAAAATAAAGTCATCGACTTGGAATTATTTTGCATGAATCCTTCCGCGAAACTACCGGGAACACTCAGTACACTACACAATTCGCTCGCCGCGAGGGCTGGTGCGGCACCAGCCGAGACAACGCTCAGTGTTTTATTGAAATAACAACAGATCATCATCTTTGAGGCAATAAAATACTGATTTGTAATGATCTCACAGTCTAAAAAAAAAAGAGGCTTCGTTTCTTTGTTATAATGATTGTACTCTGTTAACGTAGAGATGTTTGGTGCTCTTGGTACTCTTTTATCATCTGTCAGTCATGGTGTTTCAGCCAATTAGCAACGTCAGCAATATTTGATTATTATGTTAAATTGAAACAGCTGCCATTTTCTTAAACATTGACTTAGAGGTAAAAGTATGGTACCAAAATTCTCAGGAGACACAAGCCTTTCATGTGAAACAGATGAATTTGACATACAGCTACTTTGAAAATTTAGTGTCTAATACCTAGTATAAAGCTAATATTTTGTTGCATTTGATGTGAAGTCCATTCTCGTGAAAATATTGTTTTGTCCATAAGCTTTTTTTCTGTTAATGAATATTTTTCTGTATGTTACCTTGCAGTCGCATTGCCAAGATAACTGCTAAATTTCAAGTCTCTATCTCAATTCTAAGACCCCCATTGCTAAGGAAACATGTTTCTCAACTCCAAAGGCAATTTTCTCCTTTTCGTGTTTCCTCCCCTCGCACAATTAAAAGTTCTGTATTTTAGTCAAATATGGTCATATTTACTTCATTCTTGTTTTAAATTGTCAGGAAAAGGTGATAGCTTTTGAAAATAATGTTAACTCAGTTTTGAAATTTCCTTCACATGACTGAAATTGACCGGCAGGGACACAAATACATTATACATAACTTGCTCTGTGCCTGTATTTATCTGCACAAAAACCTCACATTTGTTATAAAAAACACTTGGATTCAATGAAATTGAAGGCCAAGCCTGACGACTTCATTGAATGTGAGTTCCACTGTATTATATGTGTCATGACGTGGTGGAATCATGGGCATGTGGAGATATTGGTATAATCTGAAAGCTTATTAATTTATTTGCAATTGAACGAGGTGGGTTCAGAGGTAAAATTAGCGAGAAGATAGCTGCCGTAGTTTGGTAACTTCAGTAACTTAACAGTCCTTAAAAACTGAAAATTTACACAATTTGTACCTATAGTCAACTTTTTTCCAGTAAAATTCACATGGAAATGTGTTGTTATATATGTATGGACATAAAAGGTGTTGAGCCAAAAAACGAAAACATCAAAACTGGCAAAATGGCGGAAAAATGTCTGTTGCTTCAGTTTAATTATTTTGAGGAGCGCCTGATGTCACCACTTTGCCTCACATATTGACTTTTCTGTACTTTGTATCAATGTTCTCTTTTTCTCTTTGTTAACCATTTGTTATGGAAGGTTACCATACTCTTTTTTCCGGAAAAAGCATTATTTGTTAATCTGATGAAGATCTACATAAATGAAGCTTTTCAGTGGATGATGGAGATGTCATGTAAAGAGTAAAGAAGGGAAATAAACTGAAATTTGTCATAGAAAAACTAGTTATGCCATTGACATCAATTTTATGTACATCTATATCTTTTTTTTCCTTTCCTACTCAGTGAACAAAAAGCAAAGTCCCTTTATGATGAACTTCTCAAAGGTAGGTTTATTGTTTTACGTTTTCAGTAAAATTGGTTGTATAAGTTACACCAAGGTTCATGTAAATGTTTCACCAAAGTCTAAGGATGCTAATATCTGTTTGTTTACCTTTCAAAATTGAGTCTAAATATCTTACCTAAATTTCAAGGTTTTATTTGAGTCTGGTTTAAATCAAAGTGAAAGTAAAGCAAAATTGACCATCTTTATAGATAACCACCATAAAAAGGTTATATGTACCCCTTGTCTTCATCCAAGGGTACATGCTGCATTTTTAATGCAAGTCGTGCAAAGTCACCCAGGTGTGCAAGTTCGCCCTATTTTACAGTATAAAACTGACCATTATTTACTGTAGATCTGTCCTCTTTGTGTGTATATTCTATATTAATGAATATTAGATTATTTTGTGTGGGGGGGTTTTTTGCAATGACGATCTTTGCATTCCCTGCTTTGAAAATGTTTTTGTCTACAAGTTTTGAATAAGAATTTAGAGGTAAGGAATCTTTTTCTACTGAGCTGCACCTTAATGAGTGCAGTCAAGTCATTGTGAGCAGTTTCATATGTAATGCCATTAGTAAATGTTAAATTTCTGTTTGAAGGTTCCATCAAAACATGTGGTCGGATATAATAGTTTCACCTTATCTTGTTTCATGTTACTGTGTCAAACAACAGGAGATAAAACAGAAATGATGGACCATTCTCGCATGGTGGACGTGGTGGGAAAGGCCTTTGTGAAGAGAGATGAAGTCACCAAAGTTTTGTTTAAACACTTAAGGTAGTGGGCTTGCTTACTTTTTGTGAGTGGTTGGAGGGTGTTGCTTCTGGGTCCTACTTTTTTCCCTTCTCTCTGTTGTTTTTGTCTGTCTATCTTTCTTTCTCCCAGCACTTAATACTAAATGACTATTATTGTGGTTGATGTGCTTTTCATTACTATAACAGACAAGCAAAGATTACTGTCCCTCCTGTCGCACATTCTGGCGACATTGACATTATAATTATTTTTTGTTGTGTGTGAATTTGGGGAAATTGAACAAGATTTCTGTTGCTCAGAAAATGAACGAAAATTCGGGAGATTCCCGAAAAATTCGGGAGAGTTGGCAGTTGTTTGTGTTGTAAGCATGTATATTGTCTGAAAATTAAGGTATAATGACTATGCGTAAGGTGTCCCTGATAATTAGTCAATGTCCCTGATTTTGAGCAAGGCTGTCCCTGATAGCCACAGAGAGGGATGGGCAACTATGTTACTATCGTCATTTTCCTCTACTTCTTTTGTATGTTTGTCACACTCTTGTGACCCGCTATTTCCGGGGTGCCTTGAAAGTCAAAACAGACTTTGTGCTGTTAAAGCTAGAGAGGTGAGCAGAGTAAGCCCGATTCCCTGCAAAGACTTCTCTGTTGACATCCACCCCTTGGCGGTCATATGACCTTATGCAGTTGCGAGTGCCGAAAAACTTCTACTAAATACAGACAGGCTCGAATATACTGCTGAAAATGTTTATTAACCTGTGTCATGCTTCTGGGTCGATTCTTTGGACCACCTGTTCAACATTGAGTTAGTTTCAGTAGACTCTGCCTATCAAAAACACCCACAGGAAATTATAATGGAGGAGGCTGTTCATGTCAGGGGAATGGGATGACCATTCATTTGTAAGCTTTTGGCTTTTAAGGGATTCCTTAAACCTTTTGTGGGTGGGATTTTGCCCCACCCAGCTGGAACCATGTCTCCTTTACAACATAACACTCCTCCTCCCCAAACTCCCCCCAAACTTTCTCAGCACAGTGAAATATCCATTGTATGGTTTGGTCTTCGTAATACCAAATTTGATGCTCCCAAACTCGAATTCCATTTGTTCCAAGTTGTATTGAAAATGTTGTGAAGATCACCAATTCCCCTCTTAATAGGTCCTTTCTTTCCAGACACCCTTTATGTTTTCAAAAGAAGTGAGCATGCCTTAAAACTCTCTCTCTCTCTCTCTCTCTCTCTCTCTCTCTCTCTCTCTCTCTCTCTCTCTCTCTCTCTCTCTCTCTCTCCCTCTCCCTCTCCCTCTCCCTCTCCCTCACCCTCTCCCTCTCCCGAGAAGTTTATGAAAATATTTGTAAGAACACGATAGACCTATATATATATATATATATAATATATGCCTATTTTTGTATGCTGGCCTCTCAAAGTCAGTTAAGTTCTATATATCTATAATTTAATTACTTGTACACATTCGTGGTGGCATCAAGGAAAGAGGAGCACTGCTCATTTAAAACTAATCTGCATTTGTTTTAGTGAGTCAAAATCCAACCCAAAACAAAGCTTGTACTGGTATGTCATAGACATGGCATTATAATCTGATGCATTTAAGACAGCCGTGCCCTCAAAATTGTCAGTCAAAAATACTTATCGTCAGACCTATCTTTGACTGAAACCTTGTAATTGAATGTTGGACCTGATATATTTGTTGGATGTGAGATTCACTATCTACTCAAATTTGAAACTTTCTTGTTAACTTTTTAAGTCCACAAATAGAGCATCTATGGTATGTGAAAAGATCTTGTTCAGATAGAATTACTTAGTTTAAAAGAATCACTGTCCCCAAATAATTGTATTAGAGAGATGATTGACACTACTATTTTACTTTTCAGCAAAGTTGTTGACTGCCAATTCAGGACAGAATCCATACTTCCAGATTTGAAACTTTCTTGTGAAGACATTGAGGCTGCTAGAAAACAGCTGGTGTCAATGCAACAATGTCGACAAGCTGATATCTGGAATCTCGTGAGACAAAATGTAAGACCAAAAAAAAGTGACAGTTGTCAGGATTTGTTTGTTTTTAAAGGTACCTGGTACATTTAAGATTATATCTAGTTAGATATTCTTCTTTAGATCTAAGCATTGTGCTTTTTACTGAAAACGTAATGAATTTCTAGAGGTTGGTTACACGTATGAGCTGGTATATTGGAAGTCACGCATGGTTTTGGTTACAAAGGAAACCATGCTTCTCATACAGCATATGTTATGCTAATTTTAGTCATCTAAGACATCATAATTCAAATCTTTATAGATTGTATGTTTGTGTGTGTGTGTGGGGGGGGGGGGGGGGGGGGGGGGGTCCAGAAGTCTTTGGTCTTAATATGAAAGAATAAAGATAAAGCTTTGTAACTTGGCACACATACTATGATATCTCTATATAGTCACCATGCAGAGTAACACATTTCTGCCACTTCTCTTTGACCATCAAAAGTCCTTGAAAGAAAAATGACCAAGAATGGGCCCCTAACCAGTCTTCAACAGATTCAATGGTGACCCCGTTTTCATGGAAACGATATTCTTTGAGTGATTTTTTAAAGATTTGGAAATAGAAAAAAGTGTGAAGAGGCTAGATCTGGTGAATAAGCTGGGTGTGGCGCGATTTCAAAGCCGCACTGTTCTGCTGTCTGGACTGTTTGTAGTCTCCTGTGACTGTTTTTCCAATTTCCAGGTATCGGTCATGATGATACCTTCACAATCCCAGAAACACGACGGCATGACCTTTCCACTTGATGGTGTTACCTTTGCCTTCTTTGGTGAGGGAGAAGAAGGGGTTTTTCATTGCATGGAGGACATTTTTTTGTTCTCGATCAAAATAATAAATCCATGTTTTAAAGAAATTTGTGTCATTGGACTCAATTGGAAGGAGAACTCAACTCTCTGCTACTTTTGTTCACTTGCTAAAAGGCGGGGTACACACCGCACAGACACCTTATTAATGTTAAGATGGTTATGGAGAATCATTTCAATTGACCCTACACTGATTCTTGTTTCACTCGAAAGCTGTTTAACAGTTATACCTTGGTCATGCGGACCCAGTTTCTTCACTATGGATACTTTCTCTTCAGTTACCACAAAGGATGGGCGCCCTTCATGATCTTCATCCATCACCGACATGAATTCAGATTTGAATTTTCTTACCCACTAGGTCACAGTATTATAACAAGGACATTTGTCACCTTAAACTTGAACCTTTTCCTGAAAAATGTCCAAAGGGGATTTTCCTGGCAAGTGTAAAAACTTGATAACTGAGCGATATTCAACAGGCTCCATGGCACAGCTTCAGCAAAGAAAAACAAAACTTTTTGTGCATAGCTTCATTGAACACGATGACTATTGCCTTATTATTGTCGGATTTTGCCAAAAATTTGCATGATGTATTCCTAAGAAACTGTCTAAAGGCTGTTGAAATTTAATTACTCAACCTTGATTCCTTCATAGCGAGACCAAAGACTTATTGAACCCCCCTGGTATAGTATTGGGATATATCTATAATTACACAACATTGCATAAGCACTTTGTTGAAAGATAAAGTCCTTTTCTATTATCACTAGTAAGCAGCGGAAATGACTAGATTTGATTTAATGCATATATTGTCTCTGTCTCTCATTCTGGCATGACCAACACAACATATCACTTGTGTTCTAGATTTCTTTGTCAGTTATTTTCTTGATGTGTTCTTTATTAGCATATTTGCCTGTGCTGTAGCCATTCCTTGACTTTATGTCTTGAAAGATCGAGTTTCTGGTGCTTTGTTTCATTTACCAACGCCTCATGGCGAAGGTTATGTGATATCTGACATCTGTCACTCGTACCTTGTCAGGAGTCATCTGTGAGTAGACCAAGCACCATGATGAGCATGGACGTAGCCTCGATGTCTTCAAACATGGAGTCGCTGAGACTCATGGATGATTGCAAAGTAAATTCTCAGAGGTGAGCTGATAATGTTTACAAAACCTAAAATTCTAGATTAACTCACTGGACTCTGGCCAGTCCGGAATCTCAATGGTCTCCCTGTTGTACTGGCCATTTTCACAATTTTTCAAAAATTTCTGAGGAATGTAAATACTGAGCTACTGGCTTCATTTTTTGGCACGTATAATGATACATTTCTCCTCTTTATAATACTTTAAACTTTACTTTGTCTTCTTTTAATAATTTTTTCTCACAAATTTTAGAGATATCCCTGTTTTCAGTTTGGGAAAATATTTCTGTTCACTGAATGTGACAAAATATAACACCGAAAACAACTTATTGTAATGCAAAAATATGAGGACTAGATATATGTATCAGTGCTTCCACTCTTCCGTATTTTTACGGAATTCCGTACTTTCTGCCAGTTCCGTACTTGTTCCTACATCATTATCAACTCCCTCCGTGAAAAGCTGCGATTGCGTAGGGCTACCGAAATTCCGTAGCAAAAGATCCGTATTCGCCTTCGTATCGTCTAGTACTAGTATAGGTTACGGATATAACGGTAATTCTCTCGACAAAAAGTTAATGTTATAGAAACCTGCCAGATTGCGCTTTTCCTGCAATCTGCCATGATTCCGCTATGCCCCATGTATTCATTGCGGGTTGGTCGGCAGTACATTTTTACCTGTGGATTGATCAAAATCTGGCGAACTTTTTGTGCCAATTTCCTCCATTGTATCATTCACTCATTCCGTCTATCTTCATATTGTTACTGCAGCTGGAAAATCTGCGCGTTGATCCAGTAAATTGACTTGTGATCTTAGACAGAAAATTACTGTCAGATAGAAACTTTTTTTACAAATTTGTCTAGATCTAGATCAATGATCAATACGAAGATTATGGCACGCGAATGCGATAAGGGCCGCCATGAAAGAAATTTTTGCTAAAACCAGCCTAAAACTACTAAAGTCAAGAATAATTCAAAGTGGTGTATTGAGGTTGTGACATGCGACATTCAGGCGTGAAATTTAAGGAAAATTAGGGTATACATCGGGTAACTGTATTGTGAAGGTACGACTTCTAAGGTCACCAAAGTGAAAGTAGTTTTTCATCAATACTACTTCTGTTTTTAAGAAATTTTCATTTCTGGTAAGTACAATGATTTAACTAAAACTTTGATAAAGAATTATATTGCATTGTTAGATCGTCTTCTGAAAAAAATGCAAAAACCCGATCTTGTCTATGTTTAGGATCAGGGCTCAGTGGATATCCCATCTATGTCCCTGACCAGAGCTCTGTGAGTTAATAGACACATTCTCACTCCTGAAAGAGAAGGCTCTGACTGGTTCTTGAGGTTTGAGAAATAATAGTAATGGTACTCCCTCATTTGGCAAATGGAATGAAAGGGCAAGGAACACACATCTTGGTAGTACAATGGTTATCAATTTTTTTCATATCTGTAAAGGACAATACTTTTTTTCTGTTTTGAGCCTAGGTCCCATAATTTTGATGATGTTAACTTTTCTCCACCACATCATAAACTGATTTCCTAGATGTTCAAAGTGTTGACATTCTGAAACAACACCACCACAAAAACCATCTCGATCTTGTCCTCCATCCATGCTGTTGAATTGAAGAGAGAAACTTTTCTATGAAACTGCTGGGGCTCCCAAAACCTGTATTGCTAATACTATTTATGGGTTGTTGTTGTTTTTGGTTTTTTTGTGAGAATGTAGAAGAGTGATTACTGGGAAGGCAATTTTCTGAATGCTAAATAATGTGTGTGTTCTCTGTAATGATGTTATGAATTTCTGAAAACATTGACTTTAAATCAATGAAAGCTTTTTTTTCTCTCAGTGTCATGAGCATTTTGTGCAAGTCTATTCTAATCTGGTGGCACATCCTTGTCTAGTTCACTCCCATCATTTATTATTTAGAGTACCAGAAGCTGTATCAAGAAATGAGTTTTTAAGCACACAGACTTGCTGTTTGTATGAAATGATCTTTGTAGATTTATTATGATTTTGGTACATATATTGCTAAAGTTGAACTGATTAATGAAAAGCTGGCATGCTTTGGAGAAATGGAGGTAGACGTTTCCTGGAGACAAGAACCACTTACCTACCAATCTGTCCTCAGAGAAAGTTGCATTTGAAAATAGCAAAAGTTGCAAGAAAAATTAGCAAAAGTTGCAAGAAAAGTTGCGAAACGTGTATAGCTAAAAAAAAAAAAAAATGATATGGAACTATTGGAATACATTTATTGGTGCTCATTGCAATCAAAGTAACCAACATGTTTTGTTAGATCAAAATCAAAAGTTACATGTGAATGTCTACCCCCCCCCCCCCCCAAAAAAAAAAAGCTGCCTGGAGGTTGCATGGTGTACAAAAACAGTTTGTCCCCTGACACATGCGTCAGGTCCTTAATCTCTCACTGACGTTGGGCAGGTGTGAGATATATACACAGAATTCTACACTTATAGAACGGGAACTGTACCATGTGACCTGTGAAGAATTGAAGACCGAAAACAATGGCGTCTTGAGGGCACGATTTATCGTTTTCGGAAGTAACCCTATAGCTTTTAAAGCAAGAGCGGCTTTTACAAACGGGTTAAAAGTGGAACATTTACTGTCCAGTTTGTAATTTTGAGTTACAGAATTCACTGTGCAACCTAGAGATTGGAATTAAGGTTTTAAATTGTTGTGTTTTTGGGTGCAACAACAGAAAAAGCAGACATAGAGAGTTTATAAATATAAGATCTACAGAACTGTGAAAAAATTCGTAACACGGATGGGATTGTTCACAGCACTTCTAGCTTCCCACACACATTTTGCTTACGCATATGGCCTACGTAATTTTTTAGTAGCAAAACTTGTTACAAGAAATTTGTTTTACACTGAACATATTTTTTCACTAGATTTAATTTATGTTCTCAAAACATGCGTTCAATAATTAGCTTTATGTTGCCAGCAGAAGTAGAAAAAAGGACGGACTTGCTTTTAAAAGAGATTTAGCTCCAGCTATAAACTTTTTAAAAATCTGTAGAAACCATTGACTGGGATTTTTTAAATAAATATTGGGCTACTATTTATTAAAGAAATTTCTAGAATAAACGGTTAAGAATTGATATAGATCTAAGTCATTGTGTAAAAGTAGGAGAATCTAGATCTAGGAGTTTGATAGTTCAGTAGCCTAGATATTTGATAATAAGTTGCGCTTCAAATTTTTGACGGCAGTAGTAGAGATAGCATATTATTTTCGTCCGAAACATTCATTTCAGCATCCATACACCTTTTTGAGCCTTTATAAGTACATGTAGTCCTACTTTTATTAGATCTATGTTACTTTCATAATTGTTTTTGAAAGCATTTTCAGTTCCTGTCACTTTCACTTCCCACGCGCGGGCACATATAACTATGATTACAATTTAAGATTCCAAATCTGACGAATGTATTATTAAATAGCGTATAATGCTGAGTTAGCCAATGCATTGCAATGCGTGCCATTATCAATTGTTGAATTGTAACAAGACTTCAATTTGATCCGTAACAAGAGACCACTTATTTTTTTATACGTGTTCATGGATGTGTGTTTGTTTACTGTGTGCGGGGATTAAAAATTAAAGATTAAAGATTCCAGATCTGACGAATGTATTTATAAAATAGCGTAATAGTGCTGGGTTAGCCGATGCCTTGCGATACACGCTTTTATCAATTAATTGAATTGTAACAGGACTTCGATTTGATCCGTAACAAGACAACACTTATTTTTTCTTATACGTGTTCAAAAATGTGTGTTTGTTTACTGTGTGCGGGCATTAAAGATTCCAGATCTGACGAATGTATTTATTAAATAGCATAGTCCTATAGGGCAGGGGTGGCCAACACATTGCGATACGCACTTTTATCAATTAATCGAATTGAAACAGGACTTCAATTTGATCCGTAACAAGAGACCACTTATTTTTTCTTATTCGTGTTAAAAAATATGTGTTTGTTTACTGTGTGCGGGGATTACAGGGGGACAAGCCCATCCCCTTGACTTGTTATCCAGGGTATGGGGATACATTTTTCTCAAAATGCACACAGCTCTGAAATCTTTGACCAGTGATCACTCGCCATGGAACTCTTTCTGTTGTGACTGTAGACACAAATTTCTTCATTATCACATCTGAATGAGCCTATCATTCATGCATTGGAAATCACACTCCCAACACACAGAAAATGACCTTGAACATATTCAGGAAACATATGCCAGTTCCACTCTTGTTTACTTTGTTTTGCATTATTGGCTTTTATGTGTAAACCAATATTTTGAGGCCTTTTCTGCATTTTTGTGTTTTTGGCAGCATGTACAATAGGCCTATGTATTTTATGTGCAACCAACACATTCTCCAATCTCTTGTATTTGTTAGACTCGCACGTGCTTTAAGGGAGACGTACACTCCCGCAAAAAATTTCTAAACGAATGACTTTTATTCAATTTCATGTAATTGTGCAAGAAGTTCATAGGTAAATAGGATGTACTAGGGGTGAATTTGTTCAATTTTTCTGAAAAATGGGTCTCTGTGGCGGCCATCTTGGATTTTCAAACCTGTTTCTTAGTGCAGACGAATTTCATAGTAAATATTGAATTATCAGCCTAAAATTTGGCACACAAGTACAAACCTATATGAACTGGGGATCTATGAAAGGATTCTGACCTATCTTTAAAACTAAAAAAGTGAGCCCAAAGTCATTGGACCCCCTAGAGTCAGTTGACGAAATTTTGGGGTACATATTACAAAAAAATTGAATATTTCCTCAAGTTACCAATATTTTCCTATTCCCTTTCATAGATTCCCAGAATCGATCTTAAAACACCTGTACACCAAATTTGAAGCTTCTAGCTTCAATAGGCTTTGAAAACTCCTTGCACCCAGAAGGTCACATATGTCAAAAAGTAGATTTTGAGAAAAACAAAAAAAACAGGTATTTTTAAAAGGATTTTTAGAGCAATTTGCACTTTGCAAACGCCCTTTTAGGTCATTTAGGGTGTTTTTTCAACAGTTTCTTCATTTTGACCAGATAGAACAGATGTCAAAGGATGTTTTTCCGCAAAAAACAAAAGTTGGATAGTTTGAAAAATTATATCGATATTGCCTTGGATCGCCGACACGGGTCTTCCCTTAAACAAAGCATGTTGTTGTACACACTACTGATGCAAACACAGTCGAGATGAATTCTTAAAGTGAGAAATAATACATTTCCTCAATATAAGCTCAATTTATTTATCTCTTTCTAATAAATTGGAGAAAAGGCTTATATTGTTCTTTTTTGCTTGCTTTGGATGGCCTTAAGTTTAATGACAATATTATTGTAGTGAGCATGTTACTGTCAGCGTCCCCTTATCGTAGATCTAGTACTAATCAAGACTATAATCTAGATATTAATGTTCATAATTAGTGTTATTATCAAGTGTATTGTGATTGTGAAGATCTTTAGTAGATCTAGAGTTATCTAGAGTAGCTTGACCCCCTCGCGGCCACTGCTGGTGTGCGGCCAGTTTTCATAACTCACATTCCAGTTGCTGTAAGGCTTTGAATAAACCACTGTAGCTTCTCTTGGGTCTGCCAATGCATTCACTTTCATTTCCGGTCTTTCCCGCTGTTCCGACACACGTGATGCGAGTTTGAACTTTTCAACCCAGAAAACATCCCTTCGTGAAATTTCAGGTGAGTTTTTCATTAGCTCTTACCACAACCTAAATATGATTATTTTGTCAACTAAGTGTGGTTTCTGTGTTTTAAAATGCATGTTTTTAAGCCTAACATTGTATAAATATCGCTCAAACGTAAACTTTCAGAGAAACGTCGATGGACGCAGCCAGGGCAGGGTAATTTTTCATGTGGGCCCACATGCGGTCGAATCGGCCGCACCGAGGACGGGCTTTACAGTAGAGGTCCTGGCCGCGGCCAGAGTCCATAATGATAGATAGCCCTGGTCAAATGAAGGCTAAAGTCTTGAGATAAAATCTAGACTTTGTTCTTGATAGAGGTAGGCTGTTTGCAAAGCTTTTTGTCCACTTAATAAAGCTAAATGTAGATCTACTGGTAACAAAGCAATAAGATATTTTCAAGCACAGCACCGATCTCAGTGGCCTAGTGGTATGGCGTCCATCTCGGGAATGGAAGATCATGGGTTCAATTCCCGACCAGGTCATACCTAAGACTAAAAAAACTGGCAATCTAGATCTAGTAGCTGTCCCACCTGGCGTCGGCATTATGGGACGAGTGCTATGACGGGTTGGCCCGGTGTTAATACACTGTGACTAGATGGGATAATAAGTTCTGTTACATTTCATATCCCAGTGTAACAGCACGTTAATTTGCCTAAATGACCTACTGGTTTTCATTAGAGACCAACTCAAACAAAAATTCAAGTATGGCATGAAGTGATCTCTAATCTATCCAAAAAATGTGTTTTCCCAAGCAAGTCTCAAAATGAGTGGGAAACCGAAGGGGACAAAAGAAGCTTTAGACAATGTGTAACAAGCAGTCAGTGAAGGGATGGGGAGATGCCAAGTCAATCTGAGACTGAAAGATTCCTTCGTTCTTCCTACTTTGCAACGCAGGAATAATGGCGGCAAGAGAAAGACATCGCTGGAAAACCTTCCATCGCTCATCAGTGGACAAGAATTCATTGACTCTTTAATCAACAAGGAGAGAAAGATCAAAAGGAAAGCAGAGATGGAAATGAGAAAAGTGGACAGAATAGAGCCAGAATGGAAGAGGAGAAATGGAAGACAGGAAAAGAAAGAGAAAAACAGCGAGGGGAGCTGAAGAAGCAAAGTGGAGAAAGAAAATAGAAAGAAGATGCAAGAAGAGAGGAGACTAGCCGAGGAGAAGGGGACGGAGAATAAGAAGAAGCAAAAGAAAAGAAGTCATACCTAAGACTAAAAAAACTGGCAATCTAGATCTAGTAGTTGTCCCACCTGGCGTCGGCATTATGGGACGAGTGCTATGACGGGTTGGCCCGTGAAAGGAAACAAATCCAAGAAGAGGTTGGGCGATTCAGACTATGATACATGTACAAGTGCAGGTATCAATGAAAGTGAAATGATACTGTTTGATGAAGATGACCTGCAGTTGGAAGATTTCACGGGAGAAGAATGTTCGACTGAGGAATCCATGTTTGCTGAAGTGGGGGTTGTGGAAAGACATGAAACTCCACAGAGATGACACTTGGACAATGAAA